GGGGGGGTCGCCCCCGTGCCCCCGAGGTTGTCCGGCGGCAGCGGCGCCGGGAGTTGGACGCGCGGCGGAGCCGCTGCCGGATCCGCATCGGGGGGCACCTGGAGCGCTGGTGCCGCCTCAAGGAGCAGCTCGGCTTCGCCCTGCACTCCCAGCTCGCCCAGTTCCTGCTCGACAGGTCGCTGGGGGGGACCCCCCGAGCCCCCCAAAACCTCCCCTCCCCACCCCGGGTTGGGGTCGGGCCGGCTCTGCCCCTGCTGAGCCCCCCACCCTGTCCCACCCTGTCCCCGCAGGTACAGCAACCCCGGCGGCACCCGGAGCTCAGGTGGGGGCCTCCCCCTCCCCAAAATCGGGGTGCTGCACGCCCAGGGTGGGTGTCTCCCCCTCCCCAAATTGGGGTACTGCCCACCCAGGGTGGGGGCCTCCCCCTCCCCAAACCAGCACCCGGGGTGGGTGCCTGCCCCTCTCCAAACCTGGGGTGCTGCCCACCCAAACCCTATTTTGGGGCCATTTCCTTAAGGATTTGATCCCCCCCCCTGTTTGATCCCCCCAGACCCCCATTTTGGGAACCATTTCCTCAAAAATTTCCGTATTTTCCCCATTCGACCCCCCCCAAACCCCATTTTGGGAGCGGTTTCCTCCAGGGTTTCCCTGTTTCTGGTGTCTCCCAGGGGATCCCGGGGATCCAGGCCATCTCCACCCGGCCTCCCTGCAGCGCCTGGTGGTCCTGTCCCACGGGCACGGGCAGGAATGTGGCTTCGTGCCCGACGTGCGGCCGCCGGCGCCGGGCAGCACTGCCCCCCTGGTCTGGGAGTGTGTGGCCGGGCACCGCTTCTCCTGGGGGGGCCCCGGGGGGACTGGGACACCCCCAGGAGCACCCCCGGAGCCGGGAGACCCCTTGGATAAGGAGGAGGAGGAGGAGGAGGAGGAAGGGGGGCACGGCGGGGCTGGGGGCACAGGTGAGCTCCCCCCCCCCACCTCGGGGTCACCTCTGTGCCCTCAGCACCCCCTGGGTCCCCAACCAGCACCCACCAGCACCCACCAGCACCCCACCCTGCTCTGGGGGGCTCATCCCACTGGGATCAGGGGTTGGGACAACCCTGAGGCCCTTCCCCACCCTCCATCCTCACCCTCCTCGTCCTCTTCCTCTCATGGCCCATCCCCCACCCTCCTGTCCCCCCCCTCACCCTCCTGTGCCCCCATCACCCCCCTGTCCCCTTCCAACCCCCTCCTGTTCCCTTCCACCCCCCCATCACCCTCCTGTGCCCCCCCATCACCCTCCTGTGCTCCCCCTCACCCCCCTGTCCCCTTGCAGCCCCCCAGGTGCCCCCAGAGCCGTCCCCCGTGGCAGCAGCGGGCGGGAGGTGAGTGGTGACCCCCCCAGATTGTCCCCTTTGTCCCAATCCAGCCCCTCCCTGGGCCCCCACCCAGGCTGACCCCCCCCGTGTCCGTGTCCTGCAGCTCCAGCCCCGAGAAGGAACCTGGGAATGAGCCCCGGGAGGAGGAGCAGGAGAAGGAGGAGGAGGAGGAGGAGGAGGAGGAGGAAGATGACCTGGCCTACAGCGATGACCTGAGGGACCAGAGCTACAACCCGGGCAGGTGAGGGCCCAGTACAGACCAGTGAGGCACTGCGAGCTCTCAGGCTCCTCTTTGTGTCCCAGTACAGACCAGTGAGGCACTGGGAGCCCACCCCATTTATCCCCCCAAACCCCCTCAACACCCCATTTTTCCCCCCCAGTGACTCGGAGCCCCCGTCCCGGCCGAGCCGCCCCCGGGCCCGGAGGAAGGAGAAGGAGAAACCCCCCGAGGAAGAGGAGGAGGAGCAGGAACAGCCCCTGGAGCCCCCCCTGGAGCCCCCCCTGGAGCCCCCCCGGGACCCCCCCGAGGAGAGGAGCGGCCGGGGGTGAGTTTTGGGGTCATGGGGGGAGCATTTTGGGGTCATGGGGGAGTGTTTTGGGGTCACTGGGGGAGTGTTTTGGGGTCACCAGGGAGGAGCATTTTGGGGTGGTCTGGGGGGGTTTCTGTCTCTGTCTCTGCACTGAGGGACCTGCTGGGACCACCCAAAGGTGGGCAAGTGTTGAGGGCAGGGCACGAGCCTCATGTCCCCAAGGGGGTGGCCACTGTCCCCATGGCACCACTGGCCACGGGGGACAAGCCTTGACACACAATAAAGGATTTATTCCCCCCTTTTTGACTCCTGAGCCGTGTGTTTGTCCCAGCGCCTCCTGCTCCCGAGGGATGGGAAAAAGGGATGGGAAAAAGAGAGAACTGGTGGGTTTAAAGTGGGATTTCCTTGGGATTTCCTGCTGGGACAATGAGGGGACTCCGGGCTCGGCTCATCCAGGATTTTCCCGTTGCAGCTGCCGGAGGAGGACGCAGGGAAAGGACGAGGAGGCGGCTCAGATCGGCCCCAAAAGGATCAGGTACCCAAAAAAATGGGATGAGAAGGGGCTGGGGGAGCTCCAGGGGCTCTTCCCAACCCCTGGGGAGGATGAGGAGCAGCTCCAGGGAAGGTTTTGGGGGGGGGAAAAAGAGGGAGCAGCTCCAAGGGGGAAGGAAAAGAGGGAAAAGGGGTGAGGAGGGTGGAGGAGGGAGCCAGAGGGGCGTCCCAAAGGTTTTCCAGCCCTGCCCTGGGAAGGGTTTTCCCGGTTTTTGGTTTTCCCAGGAAGGCGGCGAAGCGCGAGATCCTCCTCTGCGACTTCGAGGGCTGCGGGAAAATCTTCTCCAACCGCCAGTACCTGAACGTGAGACCCCCAAACCTGCCTGAAACCCACCCAAAACCACTCAAATTCCACCCAAAACCACCCAAATCCCGCCCAAAACTACCAAAAATCAGCCAAAACCCACCCCAAACCCGCCCCAACCCCACCCGAAACCACTCAAAACCTGCCAAAGCCACCCAAACTCCCCCAAAAACCACCAAAAACCACTCAGAACCACCCAAACCCCAACCTGGGCCACCCTGGGGCCGGGATTTGGGATCTGAGGAGGGTTTTTCCTGATCCTGCAGCACCACCAGAAGTACCAGCACGTGCACCAGAAAACCTTCACCTGCCCCGAGCCCTCCTGCGGCAAATCCTTCAACTTCAAAAAGCACCTCAAGGAGCACGAGAAGCTGCACAGCGGTGAGGGGGACATTCCAGAGGGATCCAGGGCATTCCAGAGGGATCCAGGGCATTCCAGAGGGATCCCAGCTCCTTCCAGAGGGATCTGATCCCGGTGCCTTTCCCCCCAGACCAGCGGGATTTCATCTGCGAGTTCTGCGCCCGCTCCTTCCGCACCAGCAGCAACCTCCTCATCCACCGGCGCATCCACACCGGGGAGAAACCCCTCCAGTGAGTCCCAGTCCCATCCCTGACCCTCCCAGTGAGTCCCAGTCCCATCCCTGCCCCCTCCAGTGAGTCCCAGTCCCATCCCTGACCCTCCCAGTGAGTCCCAGTCCCATCCTTGTCATTCCCAGTGAGTCCCAGTCCCATCCTTGTCATTCCCAGTGAGTCCCAGTCCCATCCCTGCCCCCCCC